ATGTCTGAGTCTGAACCAATTAACCCAATAAATTTAGGAAGAGGAAAAAGAAAGAAAGTAGCAAAAAAACTATTTTCAAGTTTTTCAAATAATAATGGAAATGAGTCACCTGTAGCTAGTACTGACGGTAGTATACATACAAAAATTTATGTTTTTAGTTTTTATACTCAAAAATTGAATTTTTCAACTGACATCTCTTAAATAATTAATTATTTTTATAGATTCCAGTAGTGATGAGTTATCCCCAATAAAAATATTATCTCCTAAAAAACGGATTATTCAGGAAATACAAAATACACCAACAAATATGTCTAGTTCTTTAAATTTAACAAAGTATATGTCAGGTTAGTATTATTTTCTGATATAATATAATTTATTATAATATATATATATATTTTTATAACATGTCTTTGACTTAGAAACAATATAAGTATATTATAAATACTTAAAATACTTATATATTTTAGATGCTTTTGAATCATTAAACGGTTGCAACTATCCTGCTATAAATAATGGTATGTACATATATATTTATTATATATGTTCATAAAATATTTTTCTTTAGATTTCAATTAAATTAAAATTATATTTTTTTATATATTAGCACTTGATGGCACATCATTGTGTATGGAAAGTCCTCAAAGTGGAATTATGAACCAAATTGAATTCGAAATGAATCAAAATTCTGATCTAAATGATACAAATATTATTAGTATTTGTAATTTAGATAAATACACAAATAATACAGTTTGTACACAAGCAAATAATTGTAATAATATTGATGAGAACACAACACTAAACCATGAAAAACAAATGCATCAAATTCTTGAAACTGTCTTATCTATTAATTTGTATGTAAAAAGAATAGATTCTAGACTGTCTAAAATGGAAAAAAAAATTGCTGAAAAAGCTGTACAAGAAACACAACCAATTGATGATGAATTTGTTTGTTTATTTCCCCTTACCTTAATTGATGATTTAACTAATATTGAACTAAAAATGGCCAATAATGAAGATTTTAGTAATAAAATGGTTGGAATTTATTATTATTATTATTATTATTATTATTATTATTATTGATAAATATATAGTAGTTTCAATTTTAATTTCAGAAATCTTATATGATGGTTATTGGAGGAACTGATTCAAAGAATTTGGTTAAAAGGTTATTAGAAAGGATATTTTCAAATGAATTAGCAAAGAGATGTTCATGGACAGGGTTCGGTAGAGATCATCACACAAAAGAACATAACTTTAAACTAAAAGATTTAAAACTGATGAGATATATGTTGGGTAATTTATATTAACCTACATAAACATAATATGTTGTGTTTATTACTGGCATTTTATAATATAATTTATTTGTTTTCATTAGATATTGCTAGAGCTAAATTCAATTGTACTGAAAGTGACTTTGAGAAGTTTATAAAAGATTGGTTCAGACATGGTACTCAGCGTTACAAAAGAGATATGGACAGGCTTTCTCAACCTCATCAATAAATTGCTATGAAAACAAAAAGTATAATTATAAAACAAAATGTGTATATTATAATAATACATTGAATATAAATGTTTTATAATGTGTTAACAGAATCCAGATATATATATAGTTTACAGTACAGCTGTTACAAATTTTTTACTTCAATAATTATATTCCTTTTATGCTATTTCTTAAATGTAAGATGTACTTTAATTTAATATTCAATTTAGTCTTAGTGTTAACTATTTAATATAATAGACACCTTTTTTTTTCCAGAAAATTGAGCGAAAAAAACGCTGTACATTGGATTCAATGTCTCAGAGACATTTTCAACGTTTTGTTAAGTCCAAAGTTAGTGACACAAGAAAAACGAATAATTTAAGTATATTGCATTCTTCAAGTTCAACAGATTCATCTTTAACATATAAATCAGTTCAACAAGTTCAAGAAAATGCCTCAACTTCAGAAATAAATACTAGTAATGATAATATTTTAATTAATACATTTTTTCCACCAGATAATAATATTATCTTACCAATTGATATTGATCTCAATTTTGATGAAAACCATATTATGTCAAATAAAAAAAAAACCCTAACAACTAAATTATCTGAATTAGCTGCAAAATACAATGTTTCTCACAATTGTATGAATGACATACTATCAATATTTCGGTCAGAAGGCCATGATGTTCCAAAAGATATTAGAACGTTATTAAATACTCCTAAAAAATATAATATTATATCAGTAGATCCAGGTTCTTATATTCATCTCGGTATAGACTTTATGTTTAGATCGATTCTCAAGACTTATAAGAATTGTTTCAACAATGCAGAAGTTATGATTGAATTAGGCTTAAACATTGATGGTCTTCCAATTGCTAAAGCTTCAAAAAGTGTATTTTGGCCAATTTTATTGTCTATTGTTAATATACCTTGTATGTCAAAACTAGTTATTCCTATTGGTATTTATTACAGTAATAAAAAAAAACCCCATTCTATAGAAACTTTTTTAACACCTTTTATTGATGAACTTCAACTAATTTTAAATGATGGTATTCAAATAGAAAAAATACATTTTTGTTTTGCGTTAGTTCAAGTGATTTGCGATGCTCCGGCGAAAGCCTTTATATTAAACGTTAAAGGTCACAATGCTTATTTTGGCTGTAATATGTGCACTGAAGAGGGTTCTTATGAAGGTCGAATGACATATTTGGGAGTGAATTCGTCATTGCGAACAGATAATAGTTTTCGTCTAAAAAAAGATGAAGATTATCATAAAGGATTTTCACCTTTGGAACGCTTACCAATTGATATGGTATCAACTGTTACATTAGATTACATGCATGTTGTCTGTCTTGGAGTGGTAAAAAAACTTATTAAGTTTTGGGTTAAGGGAAAGAAACCAAATAGAATTGTCCAAATAAATTTAGATGATATAAATTCTAGTATCGAAAATGTACGACAATATATTCCTTCTGATTTCGTTCGTTTGCCTAGACCTTTAGTTGATTTTGATTACTGGAAAGCAACTGAATTCCGTACATTTGTTCTGTACACAGGGCCAATAGTTTTAAAAGGCAAGTTAAAAAAATCCTTATATTCCCATTTCATGCTATTGCACTGTGCTATTCGACTTTTAATAAGTCACAATACTTGTTATTTATTTAATGATGAAGCAAAAGTATTATTAACTAAATTTGTTATTGATTATCCTATTCATTATGGTGCTGAGTTTGTGAACTATAATGTTCATAATTTAATTCATTTACCTGATTGTGTAAAATTGCATGGACCTCTTGATAAATTCAGTGCCTTCAAATTTGAAAACTTTTTGCAAGACATAAAAAAAAAACTAAAGAATTCGAGGTTTCCTTTACAAGAAGCTTGTAATCGAATTATTGAACAACAAAATATAAATAATTCTCAAGTTATCATATCACTAGATAGTTCTCCAATTTTTAAAAATGAAATTCCAATGCAACAATCAGTATTTAATCCTTTTTTTACATATTATAAGGAAGTAAAAGTAAATAGCAGTGTATTCAATTGTAATAAAGTAAAAGACAAATATATTATGTTAACTTGTAATACAATTTCCGAAATAAAACAAATTATAAAAACTTCCGACGAACAATTATTGTTTAATATTTGTAAATTCAATCATATTTCTCCATTGTATTTAACCCCTGTAGACTCAAATAAAACTACTATGTTTTTTGTAAATACTCTTAATGTATCTGAACCTGTTAATATTAACTTGTCTGATATAGCATTCAAATGTTTTTTTATCAAAATATCAGAATCTAAAGCTATTGCTATGACATTATTACACTCCTTTGAGTAATGTAGTTATTAACAGTATGCTAACAATAAATCATTAAAATATAATAAATACATTCATTCATATGTGTTACAAAATATTTTTAATATTGGTATCTTTTATTATTTTGATTAGTGTATATAACGCCTAGTATGCTATACAACTATAATATGTCATAACTCATAATAATAACATACCTACAATCTTTATAGTTATTGTTATGTATTTGTTTTTTTCTTTCTAATTTTAGTTGTTATTTATTATAGGATTCATTTACTGGATTATTCTGTTATTTTTCATTTAAACATTATTAATAGCTAATGTATGACATTTTACAATTTTTATATTACCTATATGATAATTTTGTAGTTTTTGAGTATTTACTCATTATAATTTATAAGTATACCTATTGTATGAATTTTTTTATTTTAACTTCTATTATTTTGTATAACACATCTTTTGAATTATATAGTAATTATATATTGTAACAAGATAGTTCAATATAGTATTCTACTAAATATATTAATTATGCTATAAGATTTACATAATATTAATACAGCTAATGGATGACATTTTACAATTTTTATTTTATATGATCATTTTGTATAGTTTTTGAGTATTTACTCATTATAATTTATAAGTATACCCATTGTATGATTTTTTTTAACTACATACTATTATTTTGTATAACACATCTTTTGAATTATCTAGTAGTATACTAGTATATATTGTAACGATAGTTAAATCATTATACTTAAATATTAATTATATTACAAGATTTATACATTTTAATAAAAAATTGTTTTTAGCTGATTAAACCTGTTTTTTCTTTTAATATACCTATTCAAAACTGAAAAATTATAAGTATTAAGAATGACTTGTAATATAATATATAGATATTAGGTATGCATAATATCAACAGATAAGTTGAAAAGTGTCTATTTATAGATGTTACAATGTGTTGTTGTAAGGACATAAAAATTATAAGTCCAAGGGAAGTTGCATTTTGAACTCCCCTTTAACATAACTATTACATTTCTATAGAATGTAAATAAAATAACAAGATTATAGAAGTTACAATGAGTAGTTGGAGGGAAGTTCAGATTAAACCTCACATTTTAACTCTCGGTGACTTGGCATTAGCATTGCCAGCATGGTCTCTAGGAGGTCTCTGGGAATAATTTTAAACTTCACAACATTATGCATAACTTCTATGTGATAAACCTGAGATGTATTTTTGCACAGTGGGTGATAAATTATGTGAACAAGTGGTTTGGTTTGAAAATGAAGCCGAAGCTGTGTCCATCGCAGGTGACATGTTAAATTTGTGAACATCAGCAAAGGCGGCCAACTCATAGTAAAGACTGTCGAATGACGTAATAAGGGCCTGACTTTCACTAGTATCCGTTATTGCAGCAGGGGCTGTATGCGTATTAACAGCTGATTCCATTCGTTGGACATCGTCTTCAACTGCATTACGAAGAGGGGTAAGCTCAGTAATCATCTTTGCAATCTTTGCTCGTTTACCAGCACTTCCACGCTCGTTATTGTAATCGATAGAAGCTTGCGCAAAAGTTTTTAATTTAGTAATGCACCGAAGAATACGCGATTTTGCGTCATTGTAAACAACGTCCGACATTGTGATCAGAATTTATTGACACAGGTGCAGGACTATTAAAAAGAGATAATTCTCGTGGAAAACAAGTACGTGCACGGCCTACAGCATAGAATTTTCAATAAAATCTAGTTACTCAGTGACAGTACAGAATTAAAGATGTAGGTACTACAAAAGTTATAACCAGAATAATATCAACGACGACAAACTGGTCATGTACAAAGAACTGTGGTTTAATAATAACAATCATCGCGGTTTGTATTAACCTATCCGGCCCGAAGGACCAAAAATGTGTGCGCCCTGAACAGGGACGACCCGAAGGACCACTCGGTGATGCCCGAGCACAATTTATTATATTAATGTTGGCCAATGTCCCCACTAACGCCGCATATGTCCCTGGGTAGGCAACTATATGGACTCGCGCCTGACAGTGAGACGGGTAGGCAATTCTACGCACGTCGACAACAAAGGCAGGGAAGGGAGTGACCTAACGAGGAAGGAGGATGATGCAAGTTAGTTATGGGGAGGGTGTCTCTGTGGTCGAGTCGTTTGGTGCAATGACCACAGAGCTCACAACAAAACAGGGTAAGACTTAACCACTAACTTAACCTACTGAAGTCTTGAGAAGATGATCTGGACGTCCTAGGCGGCCTCTCACACAACAGATATTATGTTGCTGGCGGTCTTACGCTGCGGCACTGTCTTTGACGGAGACGTGGACGACGGTAGTGGAAAGAATTTTGGGTAATAAAGTAGGTACTCACGATTAATTTGTTGTTACAGGTTTATTTCTGACGGGTCGCCCAATGCGCCCTCATGAGTATAATTTATTGTAGTAATCCACGTAAGCAACGGGTGCGCACAATGCGATTAAATAAATGACAATATATATAGGTAAACGCTTCAATAGTGGAACAATAGTAGATATACGAATACACAAAAACCGTAAAAGACGGGTGCGCACAATGCGACTTAGTAAAAAACAATATATATATATGCTACAATAGCGGAAAAAACAACTAATATACGTGTGTACACAACAAGAAGTTGATAAAGACAAAAAAAAATAATAATGATAAAAAGGGCGTTGGCCGCAGAATGTAAACAATAACAAAAAAGATAATACAATAATTCTATGCGGCAACGGGTCAACCGATAGTAGGTACTAGGTGACAACAAACACAAAGAGATTAAATAATAATAAAAATAAGAATATTTGACAATTAACGGAATGAGAGGTGTATAAATGGAGAGGGAGCTGATAGGAGCAGGTCATCGTCGCCGTGCGTAATTGCACACCACGACGCGCTAATTGCTTGGCGCGAACAATAGGTATTGTGTTATTGTGTAGGTATGTGTTTAATGTTTATGCATGCGTGTGTAATATTACGATTTAGGAGCGACACTGCGCGCGATACTCTCTACGTACGATCGTTATTATAAATACGTCATGAAGGTTTGACGCGGTATACCAATATTATGATAACGGTTCCAAGACTATGGTAGGGATACAGTACGCGGGGTCGGCTTACACTCGAACTTAGGTGGAGTGGAGCCGCGGGGGGACAACTTTGGCGACGCGAAACGCACAACCTGCAGGACGCCTCAACTCGTGACCGGCGCTCTTGCAACGCACATCAACCCGGAAAAGCCCAATACAGTTATACGTTGTATTATATTATATTATTATAATATTCGGTGCTTTTCTGGGAGTTTTTGCTTTTTGCATTGGGCGCTTTTCACATACCGGTGAGTACGACTTTTATATCTCCTACAATAATAATAATATAATATATTAAGATAAACTACAGATGTATTCATGGCAGCGTGTATCGCGAACGTACATATTTTCACCACGTTTTTCGTCATTCGTTTTCCGCGCGTTTCGTGTTTTTTCGTACACCGCAAAATGTACTTTGAATACCTATAACATTTTTTGTATCCGCATTCGTATTAGCTGTGAGAGGTGTAGACGCGTTGGCCGTTTCGGCGCGTTACCACGTGTTTTATCGCTTGGAATTTTGCGTTGATAAAAAGCTGGGTACCTATGTAATTTTTCGTATTTTTCTATTTTGTATGTACATCACGTAAGCCGGTGTGTACCTATTATTTCTAAAAATGACACACGAGTCGCCAAGTGTTTTACATCACCGCTGATAACGAACTGACACCGTCGTCCGTCATTAGTTTTTCATATTATTTAGTATTTACTTTTTACTTATTATTATACTTATAATATAGACTATTCAAAATGGTCAAACGCTGCGTCATCTGCGGAATTGTGGAGAACATTGATGGCGTTTCAGTACACGGGTATTTACAATTATTTTACACATCACGTTGATGCATAGCAATGTAATAAAATCAATAATATTATGTCACCTTTAGATTTCCAACAATCGACGTGTATCGAGTCGAGTGGACGGCATTTGTGGTGGACCGCGGTTTTCTGGTGACCAACTCATCGAAGCTGTGTTCGAGGCATTTTGTCCGCGGTGTTGACTACGCTGCAGGAAATGCACAACGCCGACGTTTGCGGCACGGAGCAGTGCCGTCTTTGGTGAGTGTAGAAATCATAATATGTTCAATAAATATCATTTCATTACAGTACACCGTAAATAGTGCAGCCCACTTTTTAATTATCATTCGACAAAAATTTCTGCAGTGCTAATTTAATTTCATTTGTTTGCTTTTATTCCATAGTATGTAATTATCAAAGAGTAGTATAATATACGGTTTAAATTCCTTACATGTTGTATACATTGTTTCTGGACCTACTTATACTTTTCTATACTACTATACTATACTGGCATATTATAATTGTATAGAAATTGAATTGTAGAACGACATTCAACTGTGTTACTACTGTTTCAGGTTTCAATTGCATATCAAACCCTGGGTCAAGCTTATTTTAATATCTACATTAAATTATAACGATACTAATATATACACTTTTACTATGAGTATATTGACCTAAACAGAACACTTAACGTTTTCTTACACAGTTCTCAATATTACTACTACTACTACTACTACTATTACTTAGTACCTAGGTCTACTCTCCTTTACCAATGATATCATTTCACATCCAATGACAATAAGTAGTGTCTAACCTACGGTTGAAATTTGTTACATGCTTAATTATTCACTGTGCTCTTAGATACATATTATATGCATTGTTTCTGTACACAACTCTTTGTGAATTGTATACTGGATAAGTATTTTCATAATGGATAATCATTTCACGTATTGTCTTATTGTTAGCAATTTATACAACTAACTTTGTTTGTACTACAGTGTAACATATTTACTACTATATTCTTCTTTTTATTGTTGGAAGTTAAAATTCTGTATTAAATTACACTTTATTTTTATTCATTTTGTTAAAATTATAAACTGTATACCCACTCCTACGAAATAGGTAGTGTAAGTCACAGTTAACTCTCTGTTGGGTATTTACAACCAATGAACAAAATAATACTACTATTACTACTACTTACTACTGACCTAGGTATACTCTCCTTTGTTTGTAAGTTGTGTACTAGATAGGCATTTTATCATTTAACATGTGGTACTCTTAGAAATGTTTTTATTATTTCAAAAGTTAATACAATAGATTTGTTTACGTTTATTCCGTGTTAATATTCACGGTGATCTTAGATACATAGATATTATATAAATTGTTTCTGTACATAACTTAGGTTACTCTGCTAAACCTACTTATACTTTACAATACTGTACTGGTTCGGTACAACATTCTTGAAAACTAAATGTCTATTTTATCATAAGAATTCCATTCAGCTTATTATATTATAATTGTATGTATAGAATAACTTGAACGACATTTAATTGTGTTGCCACTGTTTCAGATTTCAGTTGCATAACAAACGCTGGGTCAAGCTCATACATTGACTAAAATTTGATACCTACATTAACTTACAACTATACTTATATATCAACTTTGACCTAAACAAGATACTTCACGTTTTGCTATATAAATTAACATTTTCTTAATGTTACTACTACACAAAGTAGGTATTACTGGACTCTTTAATAAACTCTCCTTTTTTGGTGAATTGTGTAGGTACTGGATAAGTGTTTTATCGTAGTGTTCATCACTTTCTTTACTGTATTTATACAACTAACTTCATTTGTAACACTGTGTAACATATTATTTACTACTGATGTGTGTTATTTGATACATAGTGGTGATAGATATAGGTGTACTTGATTTTATCACATTGAAGACCATGTATGATTTTATTAGTGTAACAAAAACCTTACATTCAACTTATCATATAATAATTTCATATAAATGCACTATGAGTACATACACTTACCGTTGTGTATGAACACACAACCATTAAAAGTTCAACTCATTGTATTTTAACTTATGGGTATTCACAACACAACCAATGAACAAAATACTTAAACATTTTCTTACATCTTACTACTACTGCTACCATTACTTACAACTGACCTAGGTCATTTGTAAGTTGTGTACTAGATATGTAGTACTCTTAGAAATAACACCTTACTTGTTATACAGTGCAATACGTTTTTTACAATGTTTCCAAGTTATTGTTGTTAGAAAGATTATAACTATGCATGAATGTGCAACCAATTATACATTCTTCTGTGAATTTCTTTATTTTTTGATTGGCTCTTGATTTAAAGTTTTAAAATTCAGTTTATCTGTTAACTACAATGATAATTTTAGATTATACTACAATGTAAAAGATTGTACCTACCTATTAAGGTTAGGTTAAGCTTGAGTATTGATTTTGACGTTCAATGCACAAAAAATATTTGATATTTAATACTGTACCTACTATAAACTCAAGTTATAACTATCAAGGTATTGTGGTTGGATTTAATAGTTCATTCAACCAAACATATGTGTTTTATCATAGTGTTTACTTTATTTATAGTGGTGATAGATATAGGTGTACTTGATCTTATCACATTGCAGACTCTT